CCGCCACCTGCTCCTCAATGTGTAGGGAACTGTGGCGCATCGGGTGATGGACGCACCTCGCGCTGGCCCGTCTTACCATGAGAAAGCGGTCGCAAACAACGAGTGCTTTTTAGACCATCTCGTTTTTAATAGAGACGGCGGTGTTGTGAGTTAAAGATTATAGACAAAAGGCTGTGACTTTCTCCCTCTCAGCTGCACTTCTCCAGCCCCACAAACACGGGGAGGTTTTACACACACACACACACACACACACACACACACAAACACACACGGCTGCAGCTGGAGCCGTGTTTTACAGAGAGGCGATAGCAGTAATATCTCCGGTTGCTTATTTTCAACTGCTGTGTTTGGCCGCTAAAACCCCCAGAATTCGGCGATTTGTCCAATACAAATCTTTTACATTGCTTTCACACAGAAGCTCCACTTTACTGATGCCTTTCTTTAAGGTCTCTCTAAACATGAGCTGTATATGTTTGTATGGCACTTCTGTCCCGAGCAGCACACACAGAGGAAATCAGCCAGGACTGAGTCCCCAGACACTGATTCCCTGGGTTTATTATCCCCAAATGTTCATTAACCAAAAACGAAACACAGCTGCTCAGTTTCACAGGTAATTTTTAGGATACCGTCAATCACAGATTCTGGTAAGGCAATATCCAAATGTAGATTTGAAAATCACACTTACCAGCTCTGAAGATTTGTTGGTATCCTGCCGACAACGCCAATTTGTAAGGGAAACTTCTGTGTAGCTATGCAGTGGGAGTCACCGACTCAGGAAAGAGACACGGTAGAGCAGGAGCTTTGATGTCAAACACTGGAGGTTTATTTGGAGTTTCGGCCGGAGGATTCACATCACAAGTCACAGCAGTCACGGTCTGACTGCACGGGTGGGTTGCCACGTCAATTCTGAAGAACTCTACCTCAGACCCATGTATTTAGCTAGTTCTGAGAGCATCATCAACATGCTGCATAACAAGATAAAATCATAACACCTCTATCAGCTGACGTCAACAGGCAGGAACAGGGAGACAGAACACTGAGAGCACAGCAGCCAAGGTTACGAGGTGCGTGTGCTCAGTCAGGACAGTTTGAACTGATAAACTGGGTCAAAGTTATGGGCCTTGGAAAAATATTTCCACAACACTTGGCATAGCAGTGCTCAAAGCAGAGTCCTGCACGGGTCTGATTTTCAAGACCCGCTCCCGCCCCGCACCCGCGACGTGCAATACCGAACCCGCCCCGCTACCCGCACATATTGCCAATTAGTTCCGCAACCCGACCCGACCCGTCGGCACAAGATCCGCAACCCGACCCGAACCCGCATAGCCTATGAGCAGTGAAAACGTGCAATTATTAACACACGCAGTTGCATATTTGTCTCAGAAAGCGTGGGATGTTGGTTATTTCCTCCATCTAGGATGACACCAAAAGCCTCCCAGACGTTGGATTTCGCTCTTGAGGAAGTGTTATTGAAAATGCTGTATTCTCCGCTAGAGAGCTTCACCTCAGCCATTTCGAATGTGGCGCGCACAGCAGCAGATTGATGCGCTGCAGAGGTTATGATTATGCGCGGTCCCGCGGGGGAGAGGTCTGAGGATTTAAACATTAAACTAATTTATTATTATTTTAATATATTTATTATGCAATACCCGCGACCCGACCCGCATCATCTTTGTTTTACCCAGAACCGAACCCGGAAAAAAGCGTTTGAAAAAATACCACCCGCGAATCACCTTTTTTGCGGGTCACCCGTCGGGTACCCGCGGGTACCCGACCCGATGCAGGACTCTGGCTCAAAGTGAAACAAAGTACAATACAATAGCTCAACAGCAATGTCTACAGTTGCAAGAAAAAGTATGTGAACCCTTTGGATTCTCCACACATAGCGTTGTGTGTTCCTTCCAAACAACTCAACTTTGGTTTCATCTGTCCACAGAATATTTTGCCAGTAGTGCTGTGGAACATCCAGGTGCTCTTTTGCAAACTTCAAACGTGCAGCAATGTTTTTTCTGGACAGCAGTGGCTTCCTCCGTGGTGTCCTCCCATGAACTCCATTCTTGTTCAGTGTTTTACGTATCGTAGATTCGTCAACAGAGATGTTAGCATGTGCCAGAGAGTTCTTTAAGTCTCTAGCTGACACTCTGGGATTCTTCTTCACCTCATTGAGCATTCTGCGCTGTGCTCTTGCAGTCATCTTTACAGGACGGCCACTCCTAGGGAGAGTAGCAACAGTGCTGAGCTTTCTCCATTTATAGACAACTTGTCTTACCGTGGACTGATGAACATCAAGGCTTTTAGAGATACTTTTGTAACCCTTTCCAGCTTTATGCAAGTCAACAATTCTTAATCGTAGGTCTTCTGAGAGCACTTTTGTGCGAGGCATGGTTCATCATCAATGCTTCTTAAGAATAGCAAATTCAAAACTGGTGTGTATTTTTTATAGGGCAGGGCAGCTTTAACCAACACCTCCAATCTCGTCTCATTGATTGGACTCCAGGTTGGCTGACTCCTGACTCCAATTAGCTCTTGAAGAAGTCTAGGGGTTCACTTTTTCCACCCTGCACTGTGAATGTTTACATGGTGTGTTCAATAAAAACATGAAAACATATAATTTGTTGTGTGGTATTAGTTTAAGCAGACTGTGTTTGTCTATTGTTGTGACTTAGATGAAGATCAGAACACATTTTATGACCAACTTATGCAGAAATCCAGGTAATTCCAAAGGGTTCACATACTTTTTCTTGCAACTGTATTTCTAGAAATGATGACACAGAGCTTGATCTTCTTTTTTGCACTGACTGAACCACAGGCATCACACGGGAGTGAAAAATACAAAGTACATATATACAGTATACACTAGATATATATATATGTATAGCCTCAGAATACAATAAGGAATATGAAACATCTCTAACACTTAAATATATTTTTGGGATAAGCAAAATTACTACAATAATACATTGGTTAAGAGAATGTTAGATTTTTTTTGTATTCTTTTAAAGCAGATGATTGATGAATTGAGATTGTATGGGCCCAGTAGTAGTGGTGAAATAAAGTTGAATAGCAGTAGAGGCTGCAGCACAAGGTAGTATAGTCAAATAAATAATTGCAGAGGTACTAGTCAAATAGCAGTAGTGTAATATTTGCAGCCGTAGTAATAGTATCAGGAGCAGCAGTATACTATGCAATACAAACGTACATTACCCACAGCATTACTTTGTTTGAATCACATCTATTTTTTAATATTGTAATTGAAATCCTCCTGGAGCTCCGTCAGCTCGCAGGCCGACTGCTCACACTGCTGATCAAATCAAAAATCTTTCTACCGCTGCATGTTCCCCCGCAGAGACCTGCAACACATCCCCCCTCTAGAAGCAGAGATTTAAAAAATACTGAAGGCAGTCTAAACTTCTATACTCAGTGCAAAATATGCGCTGTGAACTGTATTCTTAAACAGACCGACATCACTGCATTGGCAACAGGGTCATCAATCATCTTTTGGAGAGAAACAGTTATTCAAGTACTGCACTTATCAGTAGCTTGTACTTAAAATACAACTTTCCAATAATACTGACGCAGCTATGTTTCTGGTTACTTTGCAGATTTAGAATTTATATTCAAACCTATAATATTTAAATGAATATGCAACTTTGGTTAATACGTGGTCTCACTTTAAACATGTTTCCCCTCCGATTGGAGTTGTTGATACTTTTACTTAATTAAGTACTTTGTGGGATTGCTAACATATCTGAATATCAGGGATGGAGATGTCCATTTATTGAGTTCTGTACTAAAGGAGGCCCACAATTTACTTGAAACGTTGACTTTAATTAAATGTATTATTTCAACAGATTTCACATAAATGTATTAGGTTAGATGAAAACAAAAATGTTAAGTTTAAATAGGTCCAATTATTATTATTGCTTTCAACTAACCTAATACAGTCATTTGAAATCTGTTGACATGATACATTTAATTAAAGTCAAGGTTTCAGTTTTTTCAGTGTTTAATTTCAGGTTGCTTTATTCTTCTACTAAATAATGCAGTGTTGACTTCCACAGATTTTTTGCAGAATTAGTTTAATATTATATTATGAAAAAATATATTAGGATGTATTATCATAGATTAAGTTACCCTGTGGTATATAAATAATAAAAATTAGCTCCACCATTGTAAGCGTCAACATTATGTTATGAACACAATGCATCTCTAAATATAATCCAATAACATAAAATATAGTATATAATATTATATATTAAATAAATGGGCCATTCTGCATGATGAGAACTTTTGGTTGTCAACGCACATTTTGATAAGAATACTTTTTCTACTTTTAATAGGGTAAAAGTTTGAATGTATAACTTTTACTTGCATTAAAGTGTTTTGTTTATTTAAGTAAAATATGTTTGACACATTCAGGTTAAAAAATGAATTTCTCTCTTTGTTTTGGATAAAGACGTAGGTTAAAATACAGATTCTAAATCATTTAATGCACTCAATGTGTAGAATTATTTACATTAAATATGCTCAAGTTGAGTCCTGAGGTATATGCAAATAAAATGTCCATCCCGTTTTATCCAACAGACTGGTGTTTCACCTGCAATTGTACAACTTTAAGCAGTGAATGTGCAGGGTGACTTGGCATACTTTATTCAACACAAATATCATTTTGTTGTGCTGGTCAAAAGGCTGATTCCTGCTGTGACTGTTCAACAAAGCGAGCAGCAGAGCTTCGATAAGAAGATTTGAGCGGATGGATTTAAGCTGTTGCCTTCTGATTCGTCCACTCGGCTAACTTATTCCTCCAGGAGTGGGCTGAGAGGACGGCAGGAAAACTGATCCACGCAATGCTACAGCAGCCTGGCCGCTTCCTTCGAGGTATATTTGAGATAAAGTGTGAAGTGGGTCTGTATAAACAGAGAAAAGCAGGATCTGGATACTGTGCGCACCTTGGCTTCGCGTTTGGAGAGCAGAGCGTAAAATGAGCGTCCCCACAGGAAGAAAACTCACTTGTTACTTAACCTGTACCGCCCTACATGTATCACGGCTGCAGGATACGGCTCATAGATGAAAACTACCCCGGTGAGAGTCGTTCTCTGTCGGACAAGGAGCCCGTCAGGCTGGGACCATGTCGGACATCTCCCCAGATTTTAACAACGACACGCTGCCGGCGGAGCGGATCACTCACTTCAACTTCCCTGCGCTGATATTCGGGATCTTGCTGATAGTGATCATCACTGGCGGAAATGTGCTTGTGTGCCTCAGCGTGTTCCTTGAAAAGGCTTTAAAAACCACAACAAACTACTTCATAGTCAGTTTGGCGTTCTCAGACCTGCTGCTGGCGGTGCTGGTTCTGCCGCTCTTCGTTTACGCAGAGGTAAGCCCCGACCTGCAGGTGGATTACCGGAGGTGCGCAGGGGGCACAAGGGAGAACGGGGTCCTTATTATCAGGATTTGTGTTGATGATATCTGTGTAGTGAGAGTCGAATGTGGTAGGAAGCTTTAGACAGCCTTCACCTTAAGTGGCAAATAAATAAAGTGCAGCCCTAGTTTGTCAACCAACAGCAGCTGAGAGTTCTGCAGAATATCAGTGAAACTACAAAAGACATGCAACTAGACTAGATTAGCTAAAAAGACCAACAAAGCAAAAATGACCATGAAGAGACATCAAAAGGACAACCTAGAATTGCAAAGAGACACACACTGTAAAATGTTTGGCTGTACAATTACAGTAAATTACTAGTTGCATGGATTTCACAGTAATTTACAGTAAATATTTCACAGTAATTGACTTTAAATATTTCACAGTAATTTACTGTAGATATTTTACAGTAAATTAGAATAGAAGTACAACTAAATACTGTGACTTTACAGCTGCCATGCCCATGGAATTACTGTGATATAGCAGTACAGAGCTGTGGTATTATGGTATACCTTGCTGTACATACATTACAGTAATTACCTGTATTTTCACACTATTACTGTAGAAGTAATGCAACACAGTAGCCAGTAATTTACGATAATATATTGTACATTTGACTAACTGGGATTTTACCATAGCTACACAATTCAATCAGCTCAATCAACAAAGAAAAACAAGGAAAATGTCCATTTTAACTTTTTATTACTCCATTGAAGTGCAAAGTACATTTCACAGTGTCTTAGACATGTTGTTACGGCCCCAACCTCTACTCCGCGGTAGTGGCTCGTGCTGAGACCCGCAACATGAAAGAATACACGCAATAACCGGTACTTGGTAACGAGCATTTATTGATAATCAGCCGTTTGCTCACACAAGCGAAACGGGAAACAAAAAGAGGTCTGGAGGACTGGCCAAAAGGAACAAACAGAAGGAGGGAACCAGAGCCAGCCACACCACGGCCGTAGGACTCAGAGCTCCCCCCTAACCAGAAATCAATTATAATCCCTATGGGGAACAAAATAAAGCCGTGAAAACTGGACTACCAGGTCCTCCAGGCGAAACATAAACACATCTGCAAAAATATGGCCTACAGCTCAAAATGGCAAAGAGGTATTCTAAGGACAGTGTCTCCCGGCGTTAGGACAGGCGAGACATCCTTCTCCTCCAGCTTCTCTTTATATATACACACGGCTGAGGCGGAGCCAGGGGCAGACCAGGTGCACCTGGGCAGAGGCGGAGCCAGGGGCAGACCAGGTGCACCTGGGCAGAGGTGGAGCCAGGGGCAGACCAGGTGCACCTGAGCAGAGGTGGAGCCAGGGGAAGACCAGGTGCACCTGGGCAGAGGCGGAGCCAGGGGCAGACCAGGTGCACCTGGGCAGAGGCGGAGCCAGGGGCAGACCAGGTGCACCTGGGCAGAGGCGGAGCCAGGAGCAGACCAGGTGCACCTGGGCAGAGGCGGAGCCAGGGGCAGACCAGGTGCACCTGGGCAGAGGCGGAGTCAGGGGCAGACCAGGTGCACCTGGGCAGAGGCGGAGCCAGGGGCAGACCAGGTGCACGGCAGCAGGGAGACAGAAAAGAAAACAAGGAGGGGAGCACTTAACACATGTCACAGACATCCACTCGAAGTCAACCATTTTTCTGAAGAATGTGCTGACATGAGGGTTTAAATTGCCATGCCTCTTTTTGGCTTGCGAGCCCGTCTCGGGATTAAGGCCCAGGAAGCACCTGAAAGCAATAAGCCAAGACAACAATTTAAATGTTACATAGATTTATATGTTGCATCGTTTATTTGAAGGCAGATGCAGCGGTGCCCCTTTCAATTTAAGTAAAACCTGCACAAAAGAAAGAAATTAGTATTTAAAATATTGAACACCAAAATGTGCAAAAACTACCTCAAATAGCAGCAAAATGATGTGAAAGACACATTTAAAACCACTAGAAGCTGCAATGAGATGCAATATTATGACAAACAGCCACAGAATCACCACAAAGACATGCAAAATAATAACAGAAGCACTCAGAACAAAGTCACGCACAAACAACAAGACACTGACTGTTACTTTGTGTCTCTTTCAGTGTGGATGCGTTTCACTCTAGTGAATGTACTTCATGCTGGTTATTAGGAGAGGCATCCATGAATCATTAGCCCTCATTAAAGTATTAAACACCACCTGCCTGTCTTCCTTAATAGCTGTGTGGCTCAGAGTCACCCCGTTGAGGCTTCCAACTTAAGTCCTCCTTAATTAGCTGTACTTGTGATCATGTTACCTTTGACAGTTAATCTACCGAGTGTCACGGTTTGTCGGCGTGTCTTCACTGGGTTTAGAAGAAGTCAGTGTGAAAGTTTAGACCTTTTTAATGTTCACCTAGAGAAGTCAGGCGAGGGGAACATGTTCCACAGGAGGAATGTTTGTCGCAACACTGAGCTGCGCTGGTGCAAGAGGATTACATATATTTACTCTCAGATTTAGGGCAGCTAATCGGTATGTGTATGCGTTTCTTTCTCTGTGTGTGTGTGTGTGTGTGTGTGTGTGTGTGTGTGTGTGTGTGTGTGTGTGTGTGTGTGTGTGTGTGTGTGTGTGTGTGTGTGTGTGTGTGTGTGTGTGTGTGTGTGTGTGTGTGTGTGTGTGTGTGTGTGTGTGTGTAGTTTCAGGGTGGAGTTTGGTCCTTGAACATGCTGGTGTGTGACAGCCTGATGACCATGGATGTGATGCTGTGCACCGCATCCATTTTCAACCTCTGTGCCATCAGCGTGGACAGGTATGTGTGCGTCTGGTCCGATGAAGTAACCTGCATTTACCTGACAGAGATCTTCAGTTTGTTTAGTGAAATAAGGAAACCACTTAGGGGATGGGGATGATATGTATACATTTAGAAAAAAGACTCAATTTGTATCCCAACCAATCAGACAACACCTTTCATGTTTTCGTGTTGTAAAGACTACAATTTAAAATCATGGAAAGCTGTAGTGAAGTGTTCACGACACTCGATCATAATGGGAGAGAAGTGTTCTGCTCCTACAATGAATTTATATTGCGTGCTTTGAAGAAGGCGTGAGCAGTCCATTAGTTTTAATTAAAATTCACATAAACAATAAAGGTGTAGTGATGGAGGCGATTCTATCATTCATTTCTATTTTTAACAACTTAAGTGCTGCCATTTTCCAGAATCTGTAGAAGGGAACAAACAAACTTTAAGAAAGGATTAATAAAACACTGCTATTAGTGATTACAACAGCTGAGTATGACATGCAGAACAAATGCTGACAAATGCCAGTTTACTGTGGCTCAAACCAGAGAAAATAATGAAGATTTAAGCAAATTCAATGTGTTATATATTGGCCTTATTTTATATACAGATTTGTATAAAAACAGTTGGGAGGAGCCTGAGGTCTAACAATTGTTCTGCCAGTGGCTGCTTCAAATGTGATACTCAAAACGTGTCATCTCTTTTTAAAAGCTTCTCAGAATTATTTTTAGGAAAACCTTGTCTGTCATTTAAAAAAAGGAACCACGTTTTCAAAATGTTAAAGCAGCGACCTTCAGCTCATTGTGTTGGTTTCAGGTGACTGACTCATTTTAAAACTAGCTTGATGATATAGTGGAGCGATTAGCAGCTACACACACAGATACTTCACTCGGCCAAAAACAGAGATAATAGAAAGTTAAGACTTTTAAGGGTCAGGTTGACAGAAACACTCCAAATGTTGCTCAATGCATAGGAAATACTCGCAAACACATTTACCATATCATCTTTATAAAAATGTTTTCTATCGCTTGTTACACTGCCTCAAATTGGCCCCTACATTTCTTTTAGGAATATAAGTTAGAGTATGGTCGAAGCCCATGCAACCATACAGTTTAAATATGGCTCAATTTTTATTTATTTAACAGGGTTACCAATCTTTCCTGATACAGAGTTGCTCATTGAGATTTGATAGCAGCAGAACAAAAAGTAATAAAAACAGGCTGTGCGGAATCTGCATTGTAGTTTATTACACAATTACTGTTTTAGCTGAGTTAGCCTCTAATTCTGAAGATAGAATAAAACTCAGCGTTTACGGATAAGCGGGAGAAGATGCGTGGATGGATGGTTTATAGAAACAAAGCAGATGGGAGCTGCAAAAGGTCTCTGCATGGCATATGGCTAATTTACATTTAACTCATGAAAACCCGTAAAACGCAGGAATTAAAAAAACTGCCTTGATATCTTGAGTTACAGGGATGCCCTTGTGTATCTGTTTCTTATTTCATTTTTTATGTAACTGCTTCGATAAAATGGGGACAGTATGAGTAAATTGGAGGAAATTGATTTGACATTCAGAATTGTTTTGACCTTTTTTGGGGGATATCTGGTCTAAATGGTCTGTTTAGTAAGTAAAAGGAAGTGAGTGAATATGTACATTACACATTAGAAACCCCAGGAATCATGTTATATAATAAAAGAAACATTAGACCTTTGAATGGATTTGTAATTACTGTTTGACTAAGTAATTTAAAGATTGAGAAAGAAAGATTTATTAGGTGTTTAATTAGTCTTGTTTTTGACCCTTCCTCATTTGTTTTATAGGTTCATTGCCGTGTCCATCCCACTAAACTACAACCGTAAACATGTGGACCACCGTCAGATCGTGCTGCTGTCGGCCACGTGGCTGCTGGCCCTGGCTGTGGCCTCGCCCGTCATCTTTGGCATCAACAACGTACCGGACCGCGACCCTAGCGAGTGCAAACTGGAGGACAACAACTATGTGATTTACTCCTCCGTCTGCTCCTTCTTCGTCCCCTGCCCCATCATGGTCCTGCTCTACTTTGGGGTTTTCCGTGGGTTACGACACTGGGAGGTGACTCGTAAGGTCAAGCTCCGCAGCAGCATAGAGGCTTGCAGGAGACTGCAGCATGCGGCCGTGGCCACCGCCCTCCCCCCGCTCACAGGCACCATCCCCGGACCTCTGCCCATGCCTCTGCCCAGGATCACCGAGAGGGACTTGGCCCAGTCTCGGTTGGACGACACCGGCGACTTCATGCAGCAGGAGATCCCTTATCCCCGGCAGTACAGAGAGAACTCAGTGCCCACGGTGACCTACAACCAGGTGCACCGCAAGAAGAGAGCCAAGATCAACTGCAGGGAGAGGAAAGCTATGAAGGTGCTGCCTGTCGTAGTAGGTGAGTGATCACGTTCTCCCTCTCTACCAATCAGAGGCTGGTGTGACAGCACAATCTAAATAAAACACAGCTAAAGAACCATAGCAGTATTTTTAACCTTTAATCACTACTTTCCATTAATGCCAGGTGTAGTTCAAGCTTTGTAGTATGTAGCGCTTTTACAAATAAGATATGATAAGACATCATTCACCTATTCACATTCATTCATACAGAGGCTGCCTTACAAGATGCCATCTGCTTAGGGTGACTGACATTCACACACCTACAAACTGTTGGCCATCAGGAGCAATTAGGTTAAGTGTCTTGCCTAATGCCTTTACAGACATGTTGACTGCAGGGGATGGGGATTGAACCAGCGACCTTCCAATGGGTGGACTACAGGTCTACCTCCTGAACCACAGTACACTAAAGCAATTTGTGAGCACTTCTACGCTTAAGCTAGAATAATTCATCCAAGGCTGAACGGAAGAAAATATACATGGGTGTCTATTGGACCCTTTCGGATTGAGGGCGGGGGTGTTATGTACATGTCGAGGGAGAAGCAGCTTCACGTCAAAGTAAACACAAATAAGGGTGAGACAATGACAAGATGATCAACCATATTAAATGCTTATAAGGCAAATGTATTTTCTCTGCTCTGTTACAAGAGCACTTGTGGATGACAGTGAAAATAGATGGTTTCAGGATGGTTGCTCTTGAATTGCAGATACATTTGCGAGATTTAAATTGCAGCTTGCATGCTACAAATTTGCTTAAGCTGACGCCTTAGCTGCAAAATGATTCAGCAGGTGAGTGAGAAAGTATTAGATGCAGATGACGTCCACCAGCGGGGAATGCGGACCCTCAGTGTCAGTCTCAGTGGGATCCATAAATATAGATGTTTATCCGACCCGAAGTCTCAAAATAGAATCATTATTCGTCTTCAATCTCAGCTTGTATCATATTTTGAGCAGTATTCCGGACAGAAAGCAAACCAGATTCAACTTCTTTCTGATTCTTGCTTCTCCTCAATATTTGTAAGAAATCAAAAATGTCAGACGATGACCTTTATGGTGCTTGTTTACTTGTAGAAGATCTTAGAAGTAGTGTTTTTTCAAGTTGAAATGTTGTTTCCTCAAGGGGCATTGTGCCTTAGATTATACCCATGTGTGTATTTTAGATATCCGTTTATTCACTGAAGCAGGAAATGAGAGGGGAATGGCTCATGACAGAAGGTGAAGTGTTTTAGTGCTGGACAGTCCAATATGTTAATTACGAGCCTGTTTAAAATTGGCACTGCAGCAGCTGTTTGTAGTGCCTCTTAATCAAACAGATCAGAAAATAAACTATTAACACCTTTCCAACAGCATCTCTTCTAAGTGAATAATAATAGTTTTTCTGAAATGTTTACCTGCGGCCCGTTTTGAAAAATGGACTTTGGATGACAGAACAGTCATTTCGCTTTACCTTGTCAACAGTTTAATTATCGTTGTGTTGCAGCTCAGGTACTGGAGGTTTATGCAGGGATAAAAGCCTCACCTCTGACTTTCCGTCTCTTAACGAGGAGCTGCCATCATAGCTTAAAGCCCTCAATCCAGTTATTATGCAGCACATTGTGTCACGCCGTGCCCACGTGCAATAACAGGCTGAGATCTGGCATCATACATTCACTGTTTGGACCAACCCCCCACCAAAGATTACTCAGGTTTATCTGAAAATATTACCCAGCACGTACTGTATTATTGTACAATGTACTACTACTTCTAACTGCAGTGCTCAGCAGGTGTTCAGCCAACATTAGTTTAGTGATGTATGGCAGCACCAAACCGTCCACACTAATCTATGTCAGTAGTAAAGGGTTCAACTGAGCACAGGCTGATTATTTACAATCCCCATCTGTACATCGCCATCAGTGGACTGCAGGGGTAAACATCACATGGGCATAAATAACTAACAACAACTGACAAGAATGTGGACTTTCACTTAAATAAAAATTGTAATTTACTTTCCTATTACAATTAAGAGTGGGGCATATATAAAGCATTGTATTGCCATATTTTGCGTGGCAATATCGTATTGATTCACCATTTTTTATCATTATATAAAACAATTATTTTGCGAATACAAATGTAACTTTTTGGTCACAATTGCTTTTTCTATCTATTAGATCAGTGTTTCTCAAACTTTTTCATACCAAGGACCACTTAACCAATAAAAAAACACTCGCAGACCACCTAACTCCACAAATATCCAAAATCACATCGTTTTTCTAGAACAGATTACAAATCGCTTGAAAATGGGACAAACAAGTGGCAACATGTGTGGTGAAGGTGTTGCTCAGGGCTATATCATGCAATTTAAAGTGAAACTTAAGCTCGCTCCATTGCGGAGATATTCCCGCGAGAGTGCGGAAAAACTCTAATTAATTAATTTATGTAAAATGTGAAATGTTACCAATATACTCACGGACCACTAGGGGGTGCTCACGGACAACCAGTGGTCCGCGGACCACACTTTGAGAAGCACTGTTTCTCAAACTTTTTTCAATAATGTACCCCCTTTCAAAAAAAGATTCAGCCAAGTACCCCCTGATCAGCGCAAAAACTATTTGTTAAGGAAAAAATGCCGATATAAAGAGGTACAGTCCTACAGTGCTGCACCATCATTTATTAAAACAACAACATTGTAACTGAGAAACACTTACATTCTACATTTAAAATGTTTACAATCCATCACTAAATTCATGGCAAACCAATTTTAACATCATGCAATAACACTAAGACGACATTAGTTGCATTGAACTGATCTTTTTAATAAGTTGTACTTACATAGTGAGAAACATGGGCTTGAGCTTCACTGAGGACCTTTGTTATTCTCAGTGACAGGAAGGCCACTGCAGTTATTACACTTCGCGTTTTGAAATATGTGTAACTGTTAATATAAAACCCACACTGCTCAAACTTCGTTACTTTTCCTAAAATTGGTATATCTATTTATTTATTTATTTTGGGGCGTGGGGAATGAAGAGAACAAAATATATGAGCATTTTATGAGCATGGGATTTTGACCCCTCATATGCATAATGCTGCGCTATACTTGCGGCCACACGCCGTTGATAAGCAGGCAGTCATATCATTATCTAGAACTAGCTAGATCTGATAGATTTGGACATAAACGCGAGTGAAGTATAACCGGACACGAGAGAGAGATCAGAGATCAGATGCTGCTGACGGACAACACGCAGCTCTGCACGTTGTGACGGACCGTTGAGTGGAGCAAAATTAAATACACTAAGAGTTAGACCTAACACACTTAGCTAGTTTATCTACTCTGGAACTAGCTAAACTAGTTATAAATATGTGTATTCTTTACTGTCGGGTCACTTATTACAGGTTCAGCGAGCTGCACAAAAGAGAGCACCCCGTTTATTTTTCCCATTTTATTATCCAGAATTACTGTAAAATTGAATAAAGTAGTTAATCTACTATTAGTAGTTTGTTTAAATGCATTCCTTATGTTGATTTTTTCAATAACATAAAATAAATCTCAGTACCCCCTGCAGTACTCCAACGTACCCCTAGGTGTCCGCGTACCCCCATTTGAGAACCACTGTATTAGATGACATGGTGGAGTTTTTTTTTTCTGGGTAAAGTCAGCGGGACAGGCAGGAAGTAGCTCAAAAAGGAGGCCAAAAAAAAGGTAATAAAATACTATATAGAAATATATTTTCGCAATACTCGTACTTAAATGTACTTTAAAAAATGATCTCATTCTATTTGGAATATTTAAAAAAATGCTCGCTTTTGTTCCTCTTTTCTGTCATTAGAAAATACATATTTTCTGCTTCACTGAAAAGTCCATTCTAAGTGTATGGAAACTGCTTTTCACATCACACTTACGCTGCGTTCGGGACGCTGATTGGTTTAACACCGTTTGTGATGTCATAACACCCAAAGATAGGTCAAGGTTATAAACTTAGATTAAAGGTGAGCACAGAGAAACTTCCCTCCTTTACCAAATCAATGTGAACACCACCAACATCATTCTGCAGCGAAGCAAAACAATGAAATACTCATATGTATATTAAGAAAGTTGGCATGACTTACAACAAACTAGGAAAGTAGTGTGAATATTGGAACAAAATATTATAAATATATACAAAATATACAAAATATTGAACGACAGGCGAGACAGATATGATAAACTAAAAGAAAGGGAACTGCATTTCAACCCTACTCAAACCTGTCAAGTGTGTGGTAGTATATAAAAACTGTCAGGTAAAAATCAAGTGTGCTGTTAATTGGAGTTTCTGTCATGTTAGTGTGCCTAAAATGCTACGACAGAACTAGATAACTGACACAGATCCTACTTTAACATAGTTTTATCAGAGCCGGCCTGAATTAATCTCATGAATAAGAAGTGATGCATGATGCCCTACTGACAGTACAGCTGTCGCATATTATGCAAAGTCCCCCAATCTCCTGAAAAGAGACATAAATCTCATCTATCAACCTCTCAGCACTGAGGAACGGCTCGGATCCTTTTTTATCACCAACATATAACGACATCAGAGATAAACAGCCTTAGTGCGATTGACAAAGTTATTTATGGTCCTCCTCACCGATAAAGGTGAGGAAGAGTCAGACCTCTGGTTAGTTTGAGGAGGGTCTGTAAATCAGAGGTCGGAGTGCAAGAGCAAAATAACCTTGAATGAAATCTGCCTGTCTCTGTATGGTCAGCTAAAGTAGCATTCCTTAGGGTTTCAGCCCTGGTTGATTTTGTATTTCTATTTGAGTGAAAACAAAGGAACTGTCTTAAACTTGGACTCCTTTGTTTACTTCTGTAACATGATGACATCACTATGTAATGTTGGGCGGCAGTGGCTCCGTCTGTAGGGTTCTTGGCCTTGGAACCGAAGGGTCACCGGTTCACGTCTCGATCTGAAAATAATACAAAGTGTGGACTGATTGCTGGAGAGGGGCCAGTTCACCTCCTGGGCCCTGCTGAGGTGTCATTGAGCC